CACAATGATTATGTCAGAAAAACACAACCACACCCAATCTTTTCTCACACAATAACATATTCAAAAACACTCCCATGCAAAGGTGTGAAGGCGATATTCCGCTCCCATGATGTGCAGAGGAAGTTACTGATATCAGCCAGAGAAGTGTGATATCTCATTAGAGAAGCAAGAGTGTGTGTTCAAGTGCATACAACATGTGTGAATCATTGTCTGTAAGGGTACATATTTGATATTTGTAGCATTTTATTTCACTAAAGTCCATTAAAAACAGCCATAATTCAGTTTTACAGGACCATATTCACCTGTTGTCTGACCCTCAGAATTAAACATGCATTAATCAAATTCTGTTTTCACTAGCTTCTGTTTGGAAAGTTTCTAACTGCTAAATGATGTGGGCAATCCTATGTTAATACACTCAAGCAGTCAATACCGTGATGATTTCCGAGTGACCTGCTTTTGCAAGGATATTAAATAATATGTTAGTTTACGCAGCTTGACTGAGAAATGTAGTTTCGGCCTGCAATAGATGATGCAATGTTTAAAACACCTAAACAATTCAATGCAGCAGAATATTTGCAACGCTTCAGATACGCTGGGAACATATTTGAAAAACCCAGATGAGGAATAATACAGCAGAAAATTGAGTGAGCAGAGAGAGACTGCACAAGAGAGAATAAAAGGGGAAAAAAGCACCATAACATAAATGGCAGAATAACAGTCAAAGCCATTTCTCATCTTCCACCTGAACCTCTCGCATCTCCTGCAAAGATTTAAACTCTTAAAAATAAAGGTGCTTCACGATGCCATAGAAGAACCTTCTTTCTCTAAATGGTTCCATAAAGAACCTTTAACATCTGAAGAACCTTTCTGTTTCACAAAAGGTTCTTTGTGACGAAAGAAGGTTCTTCAGATTATAAAAAGGTAAGAAAGAGATGGTTCTTTAAAGAACCTTTGACTGAATGGTTCTTTGTGGAACCAAAAATGGTTCTTCTATGGCATCGTTGTGAAGAACCTTTTGAAGCACCTTTATTTTTTAAGAGTGTAGGATTGCATTCGCTGGTTTGTTCATTCACACACACACACAATCTTACTGAGTTGGTGCCCAGCACTTGCAAATCAGGTTCTCTGGATTCCAGCAGTTTGGCTACCATGTGTAAGAAGCTCTCCACAAATGGCTTGATACTCTGGGAATGACACGCCATTAACAACTGATCCAACGCCTCCATCGCTATTACCACGTACCTGCACACACACACCAAGAATCAAGGGCCAAAATGAACACTCGAACATACTGAACATATTTGTACTCCAAACAGTAAGTAAAATTAAAAGTGTAAGAAAAGAAAAGAAAAGAAAAGAAAAGAATACAATTGTAAGATAATAACAAAATAGTAAGAAATAAAATAAATAATAAAACTGTAAGAACAGTTTTGATCTGAAGTGACAGCTTGGCCATCTTCTTTTGACCTCCATGGACAAATTATCATCATAAATTTTTCTATCATATCACTATTTTTTAATCCAGAACACATATGCAGAATATTTATCAAATTAAGATACCAAAAACAAAATATGAGGAACAAAAGCTAAATAGGTCTTTATTAAAGGGTTAGTTCACCCAAAAATTCTGTCATTAATTACTCACCCTCATGTCGTTCTAAACCCGTAAGACCTCCATTCATTTTCGGAATACAAATTAAGATATTTTTGATGAATTTTGAGAGTTCTCTGACCCTCCCATAGACAGCAATGTAATTACCACGATCAAGGTCCAGAAACGTAGCAAGGAGATTGGTAAAATAATCCATGTGACATCAGGGGTTCAACCGTAATTTTATGAAGCTACGAGAATATTTTTGTACGCAAAGAAAACAAAAATAATGACGTTATTCAACAATTCGTCTCCTCCACGTCACCCTGGTGCCATTTTGGAGAGTATCCACTGAACGTAAACAGCGTATGCTATTCTGTGTCAGATGCGTCATGCAGATACATTGTTTTTTGTTCAAATCAAAGCGTAAACAACGTAGAAAACGTATCCATGTGACGCAGCTGATACAGAATAGCATACGCTGTTTACGTTCAGTGGATACTGAACATTCTTCGTAAAATTACGGTTGAACCACTGATGTCACATGGATTATTTTACCGATCTCCTTGCTACGTTTCTGGACATTGATTGTGGTAATTACATTGCTGTCTATGGGAGGGTCAGGGAGCTCTCAGAATTCATCAAAAATGTGTTAATTTGTGTTCCGAAGATGAACGAAGGTCTTATGGGTTTAGAACGACATGAGGGTGAGTAATTAATGATAGAATTTTCATTTTTGGGTGAACTAACCCTTTAACACAGTAACATCAGTTGTCATACGGACAAAAATACATTTATCATAGAAAAGAAAAAACAAACACAAACAATCTTATGGCCAGTAAAAACTATTTATGGTCAATATACTTAAAATTTCACTCATTAATGGCAGGTGTGTCAAAGGTAATTCTGCATTGGCACTAAAGTGATGTGGGAAATAATTGTGTGTATGGTTGTAATCATGCGTATCTTACCCGTAGCGATGTCGAACCACATCTCTGCTGAGGCGTTCGGCCAGGTACGCTCCGATACGGTCCAGCTTTTCTGGGGCTGACACTGCATAAAAAGTCAGCTTTTCCATATCAGATTTCACTAGTCCATCCTGAGGAAAAAAAAGGCTATAAATTGTAAAATACAACTAGGATTTGACTGGAACTTTACAAGAAAATGTGCCTCTTTACCAGAAACTGTCACTTTCTGCAATAATCTTGGAGTTAGCAGTTTAGCTGGGATTAGCAGTTTATTCTGGACTACTTTGGTTTGTAATTGTACCTAGCGATTTCTTAGTAAAAATATTTGAAGTATAAATATTATTTGAAAGTATTCAAATCTTTGAGTTTTTAAGACTGAGTAGAATATTTACAGTGAATAGTTTCTACTGAATATAAGAAGTGTTATTCAACAGAAGGCATCAGAAAATCACTCTTACCCAGAATCCCTTAAGATAAATAAACTCCTGAAGCTCTCAAAGTGCTAATGTGACGTGACATGTGGCCAAGTATGGTGACCCATACTCGGAATTAGTGCTCTGCATTTACCCATCCAAAGTGCACACACACAGCAGTGAACACACACACACCGTGAACACACACCCGGAGCAGTGGGCAGCCATTTTTGCTGTGGCGCCCGGGGAGCAGTTGGGGGTTCGGTGCCTTGCTCAAGGGCACCTCAGTCGTGGTATTGAAGGTGGGAGAGAGTGCTGTACATTCACTCCCCCCACCTACAATCCCTGCCGGTACGAGACTCGAACCCACAACCTTTGGGTTATGAGTCCGACTCTCTAACCATTAGGCCACGACTTCTCCGTGTTAATTAACCATGTTAATTAACTTAACACGATTTTAACGTACAGTACATAACATGACTGTAGGGAATCTGTCTCGCTGTGTGTGTGTGTGTGTGTGTCGGTGGAAACAGTCACACCATCTCATGAGAATATTACTCACACTTAGCCTTCAGAGAAAACAATTGTGTGTGTGTGTCCCTCTAATTAACAGAGCTAAATGTTAATGTGATGAATATGGAGTAACAGCAAGGTTAAAAACCTTCCGAGTGTGTGTTGGTGTATATCACATTTTCAAAAACTGCTGAACAGGTCAAAGGTCAAAATTAAAGCATTAATAATATATTTTGATAATAACATTGCCAAGACACTTCTCTTCAACAATATGAATAACGAGCAACAGCTGCTAGTCAACGGTGCTTTAAATTTAGATTGATAGTCCAAGCAGCTTCTTCCTTATTATGCATGGCATTTACTTTAGCTGGTCTCTGAGGACAGGAAGAGCCGATAAGAATATATTTTGATCACAGCACTTGAACTTGAATGTGTCTGAATCCCAGTGCATGAACTCTGATATAAAGATGGTATTTAAAGAAGCATTTATTTAAAGCATCTGTCAAAAACATATGTAAATTAGCAAGACTTGTTGACTGCAGAATTCTACTGTGTCTCCTTAAATGAATCTATAGAACTGTTTAAAATGCAGATGATACAGTGAGATATTGATCAGGCCAATATTTCAGCCCTTTTAAGATTAACAGCTAGTATCCATTGCTTGCCAATGAACAAGATTCTATAAGTTACAAAATTGATGATAGTCTTATCAAACGGAAAGTGAAAATACATTCCAAACTATCAAATATTTGACTGAATTTTAATATTTCATAGTGTAATTTTATTAAATAGTTACTGAATAATTAGTATATCAAATTATGTGTGTGTGTGTAAATACAGATGATACAGTGAGATATTGATCAGGCCATCATTTTGTCCATTTTAAAATAATGGCTAATATCCATTGCTTAGCCAATGAACAAGATTCTATCAGTTACAAAACCTATGAATAATCCTGTCAAATGGAAAATTAAAACATTTTCAAATATTTGAGTAAATTTTAAGATTTTACAGATTAAAAAAAGAATAAAAATTTAATTACTAAATCTAAATCTAATTATCCTTAAGAAATCATTCTAATATGCTGATTTATTATCAGAATTATCAATGTTGGCAACGGTTGTGCTTCCAAATATTTTTTTTTGTATAATAATAAAAATAAAAATATTATTTTTGAAGTTATGACAACATTATTTCTAAATGTTCTCTGAACATTTAAAATATCCAGTATCCAGTATTTTAAATGGTTTAAACAGTATATCTATATATACACAAACACACACAAATGTTAAGGGAACATTTGATTTGGCAAATATTATGGGAATGATGAATATATTACAAGAAAAACGTCCTATGAATGATGTATAAATCACATTTTTGTGCAAACGTTTTGAGAACATTATGAAAGACCAGACGACTTTGAACGAATATTATATTAACGTTACTGGAAAACTGGAAAGTTCTAAGAACATTCCCTGTTAGCTGGGCCTGTTTTGCATGCGCATGCACCAGATTCATCACAGATTGTATTTATCTAGTTATTTGACTGATACGTTTTTCTTGGCTCACAGTCATAGTCATTTTAGTATGCATAACATTAATATATTATTGTGCGAATCAAAGAAATACATCAATACAGCTCAACCAATTATGGTTCTGTATTTGTTTTCCATGCAAATGATCATTCTTGTTTTGTTTTAGACTTAAATTACTGGAGATCAGGGCAGGAGTTGATGGCTTCATGGTCTACGACATGGACCTGATTGAGCCCATGCAAAAAGTAAGTGTCTCACATAAGTTGTTAATTTCTGTCTAGTCATTGATAGACTTCCCCATCACAGCACTCGCATACAGTATATACATAGAAAAACATATCATCTCTCTCTCTCTCTCTCACACAGCTGTTTCAGCTTCACTCTCATGGTCAGAATCAACTCCTGCAGCTGCGTGAAGACATCACTGTGACCCCTGAAGACTTGCTCACTATGCCTGCGGTCAGTTGAATTCTATCACTGCAAATCATGTCAACATTTTAATAAATGTGTGGTGAGTGAAAATGATGTTGCCTTTGTATTGTGTGCTTTATATTTCTATAGGGAGGAGTAACACTGTACGGACTGAGGTATAACATTGCTGTAGGAGTCCTCTTCATTGAAGCCTGGCTTTCAGGTGCAAAACTTTATTTCACCTATGACCTTTTAAACAACACTTTTATGCTATGTGATGAATGGAGGTTTTAGTAATATTAACTTAGTACAACAGGCAGAGGTCATTTCTTCTATCTGGGGAAGGTTGAGGATTCAGCAACAGCAGAGATATCCAGATCTCAGGTTGGTTCACAACACTGTCCAGCTCTCATGCTACAATGTTATATTATCTCTTACTTTAAGAGGCTGCATTTGTCAGGTTTGGCAGTGGATCCGGCACCAAGTGAGACTGGAGGATGATGGGACAGTAGTGACCCGAGCTCTTGTCAGCAGTTTGGCTGAAGGATTGATGGAAGATCTGAAGGCAGCCATACATTGCCAAACAAGCAGGTAGAGCAGACGCTTCATACGCTTCATAAATTGGATTGAGAAAACATTTGTTGGACTTGAACAAGAAATAGTGACCAGTGGGATTCACGGGATTCACACAACAAAATACCATGCATTACAGTGATTTTACAATGGTTACAGGATGTCCCTGGAGACAGTATGAAGAAATCATTGTTCAATAGTTCAATTACAATAAATAAAAAAGATGTTAATATTACAAAATAAAAAAATTAATTGTATACTAATAAAATAAAGTACTATATGAATATTAAACTCTTTCTCAATGTTCTATACCTTATTAGTCTAACTCTGTGTTATCATTAACTAAAACAATATATACACTGCCGTTCAAAAGTTTGGGATCAGTAAGACTTGTAATGTTTTTTTAAAGAAGTCTCTTATGCTCGTCAAGGCTGCATTTATTTGATCAAAAATACAGAAAAAAACAGTAATCTTGCAAAATGTTATTACAATATACACATGATCCTTCAGAAATCATTTTAATATGCTGATTTATTATTAGAATTATCAATGTTGGCAACAGTTGTGCTGCAAAATATTTTTTGGGAAACTGCAATACTTTTTTCAGGATTCTTTGACAAATAAAATGTTAAACAGAACAGCATTTATTAAAAATATAAATCTTTTCTAACAATATACATCTTTGCTATCACTTCTTAACAATTCAACACATCCTTGCTGAATAAAAGTTTTAATTTCCTTCAAAAAAAGAAAGAATACAAATGTACTGACCCCAAACTTTTGAACTGTAGTGTATATTGTTAGAAAAAAATTATATTTTAAATAAATGCTCTTCTTTTTAACTTTTTATTTGTCAAAGAATCCTGAAAAAAAGTATCACAGGTTCCAAAAAAATATTAAGCAGCACAACTGTTTCCAGCACTGATAATAAATCAGCATATTAGAATGATTTCTGAAGGATTATGTGACACTGAAGACTGGAGTAATGATGCTGAAAATTCAGCTTTGCATCACAGGAATAAATTAGATTTTAATGTATATTAAGATAGAAAAACATTAGTTTACATCATAATAATATTTCACAATATTACATTTTTTCCTGTATTTTTTATCAAATAAATGCAGCTTTGATGAGCATAAGAAACTCCTTTAAAAACATTAAAAATCGTTCTGATCCCAAACATTTGAACGTTAGTGTATATATACACACACATTCAAATTATTATTTATTTTTATTTCAATTTTGTGCATGTCTCATGTATAATTATATTACAAAACCTAGATGTAATGCACTTAAGATGGATGCCTAGCAGACAAGTTGGCAACCAGGAATATTCCATTCCATTCTTCTAATATTCCAGAAATTCCTTGCATTTCCATTTATTTCAGTGATATGTTACCTTGGGGTCCTCTGGGAAAATGTTGTCCACTAGACGCTTGTAGCGTGGCCGCAGAGGACCACAACATCCACACACTCCTGTCAAAAGAGAGAAGAAGTCTTACAAATACAAAAGAAAGATGGACAACCTTGACATTTTAAATCAACTTTGTATGTTTTCTGTTCAGTCTGCATGAACACAAATGATTGCAGCGAGTTTGAATTTGTGTATTTAATGAAATAAACAGAACTAAGGTACAATTCTTACATCTGTCTGCATGGTTTTGCAATTGTTTTTCTATTTTAACAGGTTTTTTAAAAACATCTCCTGCCATAGCATCACATTTTAAGACGGTTTGTTAAGATAAAGATAAAAGTTCAGCTTTTACAAATGTGCCTCGTGACACCTGCTTTCTGTTGCGTTTCACTGCGCTGTGTCTGGAGGTTTCTGAATGCAAGAATGGCCCTAATGAGATCGGACAGATATGAAACATAAGCAGTCTGACACATGCATTCAGACTTCACCCACTCAAGCCAATAAGAACTTCAGAATCTACATATGTATGATATTAAAATGAGCTGTCAGGATGAAATGTGTATGTGTGCACTGATGAAAGGCACAATGCAAACTACAGTCTGTGTGTGTGTGTGATGCCACACAGTTTGAAGGGCTGATTAATTATTAAAAAAAGTCAAAGAAGAAATCTGAGAGCAGCAGAGCAGCCAGTACACACACAAACACACGCACACTCCTTATATTCAACACACACACGCTGCTCCTGACAGCCCTTCACCAGCTAGAACTGAAATTGTTCATTCATCCAGTCCAACATGGATAATAAATCTGGATTGCATGTGCATGCATGTGTATATGCCAACAGAAAGTGTGTGTGTGTGTGTGCAGGGACTGTAAAGTGAGATGTGGAAAAGGAGCCGCCATTATCAGCTCAAACACCTGATCCAACTTCAGAAAGACGGAAAAAGCGAGATGCTGCGAGGGAGAGAAATAAATAGAATAGCAAAAGAGAGCGGGTGAACGAGCCGAGCTCTACGGCAAAGTGACAAATGCATCAACAATCTTACCAACAAAGGGTGTGCAGCAGGCTTGTATTAATCATCATGATCGCACACAAACAAACACACATAGATACCAAGTCTGCTAAGGAAAGATCTCCTCTCCCAGGTGTGTCTGTATCTGAAGGTCCCGTCAGCTTCCGAGCGCGGCACCTGCCTGTACCTCCTCATCATGACCTCTGACCTATGTTGACTCCTTTAGACCCCCGGAACCTCAAACCTGGTCAAAACAGCAACCTTTCTGCCTCCTGCTTCAACCCTGGTCTGAGACTCAGACACACCTGAACTGAATACCTGTAGAGGACTCGCCCTCTACTGGGACTGGCAGGAGAGTCAACCAATTACAGATGAATGGAAGTTACGCCTACTGTGTTCTGTCAATGAGGTGACAGACAGAAAAGAGGCCCGGACTCAGAAAGAATCATCTTTTACATAAAAAAATTAAATAAAAAAAATGGCAGGCTTTGACGCATTTAACTTTGTAAAATTATGCATTTAAAATGGATGCATTTAAAAGTTATTAAAAAAATCAACAGTACATAATGAAAGGTGAGACTGGAGTTGATTGGTTTGTAAAAACTGGGGCATATTATTTGTTAAAATAATATTTTCTTGCTCATAGGACCTTGTTTACATCAGCAGCAGACAGTAGAAAGTATCATATTTTGATGAAAATTTATAACACATGTTTGTACACAATGTGCACAAAAAGATTCTCTCGACAATAAAGTTTTTTTTTCTGTCCTGGTCGACATTTTTTTTTTTTTTTTTTTTTTACAGAATGCAATATATATTTGGACATTAATGTTAAAAATAAATAAATATGAGATATTATTACATAATATATAATTAAATATTATATATTATTATATATTATATGCAATATATATATTTGGACATGTATGTATATATATATATATATATATATACTGCATATACATAGACACACACACACATATACGTATATATTAGTATAAATGTGAATGAGTGTCACATATATTGAGTGTATGAGTGTATATATTAGTAGTATACATATATATTACGTATATAAGTTGCAAAATTAAGTTTTTTAATTTTCAATAATAGATGGAAATTACATAAATGATAAATTCACTATATAAATTACTATAATGTGTTATAATATACCTGTGTCAGCTTTAAAGGGTCATGAAACCCCAGACTACTTTTTCTGAGATTTTCTGAGTTTGTGTTGCACATCATAGAAGACAATGTTAGCATTCCATAGTTCTAACTGTTGGAGAAAACTGGTTAATATTAAGCTTTTTTGCGCTATTTTTATCTTCCGGGTTTAAAATCTACATTGTGTTGATGTCACAATTTGTGACGTGGCAATGGAGTATAGTACATCGATGACGTGTTGGTGTCTATTAAATTATTCATGAGACTGCGTGTTCTTATCCTATGAGAAGATGCTTCGCTTAATTATTCACAACAGCATGTGTTGATTTGCTATGAGAGACGCTTCAGACTGCGAGACCGCGTACATAAACTGAGAGAAACGTTCATGGATCGAACGAAGGAAAGTGTTTGTTTTTGCTTTGTAATAAGAGTTCGGCACAAACGCGATTCATAACCGTTTTTACAGCTCTGTGACACAACCGGTCAAAAGGCTTATATAAACGCCGCAGAATAAGCCTAAAGTTGTCAGAGGTGCAACAGCACGTTCATATATATGTTTTCAATGCAGAGTGCAAATGGCAGTGCATTTATTTGTGTTTTTAACTCGATGGGAGCGAAAAACACTCTAAACACACTAAACACACTAAACACAAGAATAAAGATTCTTTTATCTTTATTCAGCGAAATGAAACTCTGAAACCGAAGCTGTGTGTGTTGTGTGTTGTCTGTCTCCCCTCTTCCCTCTCCACTCTGCTGCGCACCATGCCCACTTTTTTAGCCTTTTTTAAAACTGTGGTGAGAACCAGTGCTGAAACGGGGTTTCGTGACCCTTTAAATTCAGAAACGCTTCTGGAAAATAACATGACTTCATTTGTTTATAACACTATCAAAATACTAAATATCAAAAGACATTTAGTTTAGACAAAATTTCCCGTGAGCTGGCTAGATAATGTTTTTCGGTGACAAATCAGCAGATTTGACAACAACCACGTACTAGCCTACACATCACAGAGAACCAAATATTTAAGTTTGAAAGGCATAAATGATGCATAATCAACAGAGCATTAGGGTCTAAACAGGACAAGTGACAATTCAGCCAACTGAACGACAATTCCAAATGCGGGTCCATTTTGATTTCACATTTTTAATTTTCAAAAAACACAAAACAAGTTAACAAGCGCAGGTTAAAACTGTCATTCGCAAATGAAGAGACAATATAAATAAATACTACTAATGTCAAGGGCATTCTAAAAAAAACTAAATCAAGTTGTTGTTTTCTTCTTCATCTACATTTCCATGAGGAAAGCTCTATTTCATAACAGAGAAGACACAGCCACAGCCAGCAGGGGACGCTCACCCTGTGCGGGCCACCCCAGAGCAGGGTGCAAATCCTGCTTCCCACTGGTGCCTGTTGAATCCCC